TACCTTTAATATAAATGACACATGGCACAATTGATAAAATTAATTACAAGCGATGGCAAGCATAGAAAAGAAGTGCCTTTTTTTTCAATCTTGTTCCCAAACAGTAACTTTGGTATAGCTGTGCGATGTTGCTAATTGAAAAGAAATATTGTGTATTTTGGACGCTTTTGTGCATTGCTTTTCATCTACTGTAACTATTCTTTGTCCAGTTCAGAGAAAGTGTTTATAAACTTCTATTAACATTAGCTCCATTGGCACAGCACTGCACATATGACACAGCAGCCCCTGGAACGGACTTCGTGTGGTACGAGGGGGAAGGGTAATATTATTTTTCTATGGTTTCATTTGTCTTTCTCAATAAATATGAAGTTTATCAAAAATTTTGCCCTGTCCTTTAAATATTCCTACTGAAATGTACTTAAGTTTGATTGCACTCAGAGGTATAGCTTTACCGTGTTCCAAGGGATGGGGAGCCAAACTATATAACTGGTAGTGCAGTGATGCAGGCATGCAAAATATATCTGCTGTTGTAATTAAATTAGAAAGTTTAATTAGGCAAGGTTCATTGCAGCAGTATCTTCTATGTATGCAACAAAATGCTGCTGGTATATATAGCTGCTAAGGCTTGTAATGTCTAGAGGAAAGTGAGTGGTGACAGATAAGATGTGATACATCCTGTCTTGCAGCTATTTCGCAGTGGATTGTTTATGCTCGCTCCTTTTCCTTTCAAGGTTTAAATATCTGGATAAAGGGACAAAGACAATTGGGGTATCTGGTGCCATGGTCGCATTGAGAACGAAGTCGCAGGATGATGAAAATTGTGGCATTCGCACGACGCTTGTGCAAAAAAAGTACAGCATGTATGCATAAAAAAAATGAGCTTTTTTTTATATCACAGACATTTGTTCATTTCTTGTGTATACTTTTGGTGAGTCTTTCCCTCTAGAGAAAGAGAATGTGAAGGAGCAAGTTGGGCACCCGGCCTTATCTGGGAATATGAAAACTTTCTGTCTATGGGGACAGCAAAAGAACAACAAAAATATATTCTTTTTTTTTTTCTCGTTTGTAACGTTGTGCCACATCTTTCAAGTAGCTTTCAACATAGGTGTTGGAAACCGTGCGTTTTGCCAAAGGCCAGGTTAACCACAATTTCACTCCTTCATTAGGACCGAATCGCTGCAGACACATTGTACCACCTAACCAGTAAATCGGAAAGTAACTGGAGAATGCTTGAAAGCACCAGCTGTGATTGATGGATGTGGAAGGTACCCTGGTAGCATGCAGAAGTGTGAACCGTTTGGCTATTTGGTGTGATTTATCTAGGATGAAGAGTGGAGAATTTCTAATTATCTATACAGATGAAAGAAACACAGGAATCGCAGGCATACTAGTTTTTACTCGTGTGCTGCAGACGTCCAAGTGATTTTTCGTGCATTAATGAAATTCATTTGCAAGAAGAGCGTCTTCTCGGTACCATCACGAAATTGCTAAACATTAAGAAAGTGCATTTCTGCAAGCACTCTTGCAACATTTAAAAGCTACATTTTCACAGTACTTTTCGTAGATGCAATTGTCGAAACATCCGAAAGCAGCACATATATATATTTTTTCTCCTCCATGACATGATTCGTTACCCTGAAGCTACGTATCATGAAAAATGCTTTTGTGATCATTACCAACATCTGTTAACACTTGAGATTGTTGTTTAAACACAAATATACAATTTAACATTGCTCGTGTACGCATGTTTGCACAACGTTTCTGAATGTAGAAAAAATGTCACGCGAGCTCTGACAAATTTCACAAAATGTCAAGGATCGCGCTCCCAATGTAACATATGGCGAATTCCATTGAGAGAAAAGGAGTAGGGGAGCTGGGCACTGAGGAGTGGGGGGCAGAGCACTGAGAGCAGGCCCACTCAACTTGCCACTGGAATGCGCCGTGTTCCCGGAGGGCAGGTGAGAAGGTGACGATAGGAGACCATGTGACTGAAACATTCCAAGCCTCGGCATATTCTTTAAGGGGCAGCAGCAAAATACGCGTGAAATCAGTCAGCCACGTTTTCTTCATTATCCCAATACCTAATATATGCTTGTGCAATGACTCATTCAGCAAACGTCCAGCTCTCATCGTAGCCATCCGTACAAAACGGCGGTGTCAACTATACATGGTTGCTACCATTGCCCACAACCTGCTATATAAATTTATATAGAGGTCGTGACATCGCCGCCGCGCTCGTTGGCTGAACAAAAATTTGGAGGCTGTGATGTTCCAAGGACCACGTTACTCGTCGTACTGTGCCTACTCTGCTTTTCAGGCGAGAACACTGCAAACTGCTCCTGGTTGCTATCGGCGCAGCAAAAACATAGGCACTGCGCCGTGCTCCCAACCGGGCTGCAGAAATTAGGTGCCTTTCTCCTCTTCTTACCACTACCACCGCCCCAGCAAAAGCCCTCTCGCTCTACCAATGGATGACAGTGCACCTTTATCTGTTCAACCACTGAACACACCGGGTCTTCAGAGCCGGTGTGTTCCTGCTCTTCCAATGAAATTCGCCATTAGTGAGCACCAAAACCTAGCTGAACTCCACAAAACACCACGAACTACATCTGGACACCATCGGGCCCAGAGTCCATCTTCCCTGATCGCCTGGGGTAACTGGGGCGCGGGTGCGTCACGCGCTTCTTGGGCTGCCGGATGCTGTAAAATGTTGAGGAGATCAACCGATGTGCGGCTTCCCCGTCGATCACCTGAAGACGGTGTATAATCGCGAAGATATTCCGGGTAATTCCGGGCCGGCGGGCACATCTGCCGCTCAGCCTAGAGGGGTCGGCGAATACGGCGGGGGTGGGGGGCCCCCATCTGACATGTTGGGGGAGGGTGGTGGCGTGCACCTGACCAATACCTGGCAAGATCGCAGCACGTGGCGCTCACAACGAAAGAAAGGCGCGCGCGTCTTTCAAAACATTGAGCTGGCATTGACTGTCGATCGACACAAGCAGATTGTTCGACGAAGGGCAAAACCATTCAGCATCGTGATAGGATCTGAGGGCTAAAGTTTGTTATGGGAAAAATTCGCTCAACCGCGATGTCTTTCGAGGATGTCTGTCGAGGTTAATAATTATGTTGGGGTTTTACGTACCTAAACCACATATTTATGTGGCTGATGGATGCGAGACTGAGAGGGTGAATGTCGAGCCTTCGGAGTCATTCATCGAAGGCCGCATAGAATTGTGCATGACCTCCACTTTCCATTACAAGAGCATGTTCACGCTCTTCACAGAAGAAAAGTCATCACATCTGCAATAACCTGCCAAGTCAGTGCTTTACGTATGACGCGTTGTGGTTCCGCTGCACCATAAACAGCGATTTCATTCGGCCGGCCTACACCGCTGTACTTCGCTAGTAAAGAGAGATTACTGTTGCCCCACTCGTGGCGTAAGTTTGCTTCATACAAAGCAATTGATTGATTGATTTGTGGGGTTTAACGTCCCAAAACCACCATATGATTATGAGAGACGCCGTAGTGGAGGGCTCCGGAAATTTTGACCACCTGGGGTTCTTTAACGTGCACCCAAATCTGAGCACACGGGCCTCGACATTTCCGCCTCCATCGGAAATGCAGCCGCCGCAGCCGGGATTTGAACCCGCGACCTGCGGGTCAGCAGCCGAGTACCTTAGCCACTAGACCACCGCGGCGGGGCATACAAAGCAATTCACAGACGACTTGTGAATATTTTCGGCCGAATGCGAAAAGATCTCGTGAGAGTCGCGAGAGTTAGATGCCGAACCTCTATGTTTGAGTTTCACCCTCTGTTTGGTTTAACACTAAGTTGCGATAATTTATAGAATTTCGTGACGCACGGGCTGTGATTTCCAACGAGCGCCATCCCAAGCAGAGATAGGGACGCGTTATTTTCAAGAGGCTTCAATTTTGCACCCTCCTGTCAACAACAGCGGCAAGGCGTGCTATGACAATTGTTGGACCCACCTGCTGAGAGTCGAAACGTCTGGGAAGCAATTACGATGAAATTACAAGTGGAGTGACATATCACATTTGGCAATATGGTTCCGCAGCTGCTTAGACCACGAGTTGGCCACTTTTATTTTCATTTTCACTCCCTTTTGAGAACAAAAATGTACGTAAGACATATCTTGCTTCCACTAATGTGCGTACTTTTTCTATAAGTGCCTCTGCCATATTTTTTTTTTCGTTTCAGATAATATAGCTTATAAATGTCTCTTGGAGGTAAAGCTCTAGCATTAGTGACCACGGAAGCCGAATATTCCCAGACACCTAATTGCTTTTCACAGCAATACAGCGACAGGAAGAATGATGCACGCTTTTTCGAATCATGTCTTAACACGCCACCTGTGATGTAATAATAAACACAACAAAAACGAGAGCTGTGCGCAAAAAGAATAAACTTACACACACTTTTAGAGTGCCGACGACTCTTGTCAAGCAATCAAGACTCGCTAATTGAAGGATTTTGAGTGTTTTTTTGAAAGAAAGGAAGAACGGCTGTACGATCAAAGAACAAAAGCTACAAGCAGAATAGGAAGCTAAGGGGAATAAAAGGCGAGGCGGCCGGGCGTATGCGACAAGGCAAAAAGATGGCAAAGAGCATGCGCGGAGAGTCAACTTAATAGACCCCTTGCAGAAAGCCTAGCAACAGTGTGTGCCTCACTGGCAACATTGAGGCCGTCACGACTGGAGCGACATAGTAAAGGAAAACACGGCGCTTCTGGCCTATGTAACCCACGTTCTGGCAGTATGGCATGCGACCTTGTGGCATTTTTTTCCAGCGGCTGAATTTAGAAGTCAAGCGCTTGCGCGGCGAGAGCGAACATGCCTACGCACTGCTATGTCCCCGTGTGCAAGCAATACGGATACGTTGACAAGTCCGAACATAAGGTAAGTATGCAGCGCACGCGCATCAGGACATCATCATCTCCGATTTTACGTCCTGTTTTTGCATAGGTCTATTGTATGGTGTATGGATTCGGCACTGTAATGGTTTGTGGTGTTTCAGTTGTTCAATCGCTTCCTTGTATCTTGTCAGAATTGACGCTCTCAGCGGGGCTTACCAGTAATATCCGCGCGGTGCATTCAACACCGATAGGCAAAACGTGCATGGTGTTCCAAAGTGCCATGCAAGTTTGCTTCGTAACGCTCGTTTATATGGCTTCACCGCGAGCTTCACTACAGCGCTGCTCTGCATACAAGCGTCAGATTGGCGTGTTATTGCATGGCGAATGCTTTTTCTAAACGAGCTTTGTGTGCGAGCCGCTGCCGCGCCCAGTGATAAGTATTTGGTTGTTCGGCCGAGCATTCATTGCCGCTGTGTTATGGTAAGCTAACATTACACAGGAGTGCCATGGGTGCTGGGTCAGTATTCTGTTTCAAAACATGTGTTGGTCGGGCGCTTCGCCATGCATCGAGACAGACAGATCATAACAAGAGCTCTTTATTTCAGGTGTCATACCACAGGTTTCCCAGCGACGAGGGACTGAAAAAAAAAAAAATGGATCGCTGCTATAAAGAGGGACGAAGGGCCACTGTTTAAGATGTCAAAGGCGAAAAAAGTATGCTCACTGCATTTCCTAGAGGCAGACTACTTTGAAAATGTTGCTAGTGGGCATCGCCTTCTCAAAGACTCGGCTGTCCCATCCATTTTCCCATTTCGGAAAACTAAGCCCCCAAGAAAACCACCTCGACGGTGAACGTCCTCACCTATGCCTGCTTCCCAGAAGAAATTCACCAAGATCCACCCACCAGCCGAGACTCCCATGGAATTGGCAAGTGCATCGGATGAGAACGAAGCCCCACTACAGGAGATCGTTGCTGACCAAAATATGCTTCAGGAGCATGCTCCTACTAGCCACAGCGAGCTCATGAGAGCATTTGCTGCGCTAGAGTCACAGCTTGCCACAGCAAACAACCAAGCGTTGAAGCAGCAGACAGAATTAGCCGAGCAGGCGGTGCAACTGAGCAAGGCTCGTGCTGCACTCGCTATTTGTCAGCCAGAGCTGGAAACTTCAAAGAATAAGATTGAAGCACAGAGCAAGGAGCTCGATGTACTCCGAAGTGAGTTGCTCACTTCCCAGCATTCCATAGAAAAATTAAAGACCCAGTATGCACCTTTCAGCATAGAACGATTTCTAGACTGTGATGAAGAAATTCAATTTTACACCAGATTACCAGACTACGGAGGCTTTCAAGATCTGTTGGACTATCTTGAACATGGTGAAAATGGATGCAATATTATGCGACATCCCACAACCAGGATCCATAAAAATATGGACTACAGGGGCCGGCCACAGAAAGTTAGTGTACAAAACCAACTATTCATGGTCCTCATAAAGCTTCGTCTCGGAGTGTTCCACCAGCATCTTGGACATTTGTTTTCGGTATCTGTCGAGAATATTTTCCATTTGGGTGGTCTTCATGTACCTACAGTTGACAGGATTGACGTTATGGCTGTCACGGCAAGCTATTGACGAGGCGATGCCTCTGGCATTTGTCGAAAAGTACCAGTCGACCCGTGTGTTACTCGATGCAACGGAAATACATTGCGAAGTGCTATCATCATTTGTGACACAGTCTGGCCTCTACTCCCATTATAATTCTACACACTCACTTAAAAGACTGATCGGTGTGTCACCAGATGGGCTCATCACATGTCTCTGAGCTTTTCACCGGGAGCACCTCAGACAGAGAATGCGTGAGAAGGAGTGGGTTTTTGGACCTAGCCTTCGACATAGGAGACTGTCATGGCAGAGAAGGGGCTTCGAATTGATGACTTTTTGGAGGAGATTGGTGTAGAGCTGAACATTCCACCTTTCCTTCGACGTGACAGATTTACTGTTGAGGAGACACAAGAGACTCGGGAGATCGCTGCCCTTCGGATCCATATGGAAAGAAGAATTCAAAGACTTAAATGCTTTCATATACTTGATCGTCCCATACCAATTTCATTGGTATCAATGGCTAATCAGATGTGAACGATCTGTGCCATCTTGAGCAACTTTCAGTCGCCTATAATTCAAGATACCGAAGCCAGCTAGGTCCAGTGTGCTTGTGATGCATAATGCACACTGTGCTATTTCGTACTGGCTGGAATGTCATAGATCCTAAGTGGACGACTCTGCGCACACTTGCATACAATTTACTGTGACATGCTGATCTTATTTAGTCCAACAACTTCAGTTTATCATGCACTAACATACATAGTATTATTCCAAAGCATACAGAGTTGTGCTTTTATCTTGAAAACAGCAACTGCAATATTTTGCTGCTGTCTTCCCCTCTCTCAGAGATGACATCTGGTGTCCCTCATGGGAGTATAATGTTGTAGTGCCATCATCACCATCATCATTTCTCAATCACCGCGCCGCGCCTCTCGCGCAGCTGAGGCTAGCTCGAGCTGCGCGAGGATTAGAACGAGCTCACGCACCTGGCGTGTCGGGCGTGGACAGCCACCGCGGCTCGGCTTCAGGCGTGGAATAAAGTGGCGAGATCAGCACGGCCCCATCTGCCGCCTTCGACGCCGTCTCACGTCTCTCTTCTCTCGCCGCTACATTGGTGACCCGGAGAACACGCCCTTCGCCGAGCAGCCCGCGGCCATGTTCCCGCAACTCTGCCCGCCAGTGCCGCCGTTCCAATCGACCTACCCCAAGGTATGGTTCATGCAGCTCGATGCCGTTCTTGCGCTGAATGGCGTCACGGACCAGCCGCTGATGCACGCCATTCTTCAAGACGCCCTTCCGGTAGAGTTGCGTCATCTCTCTGGCACTTCAACCTCCAGCCAGCAGCCTTACGATGACCTCTGCTCTGCAGTCCTTGCCAGCTATGGCCTCACTTACCACCCGCTGCCGTTTACCCGCGACTTTCAGGTTTTCCCTGCGTCGCAGCGTGCTGGACCCTCCGGCCCGAAGCTCTCATCTGACCGCAACCTAACTTCCCCGACAACGTCTCACTCCACCTTGAGTCTGGCCACTAGCGCAGTGAGTCTCCCACCCGGTCACAGATCCGACGAAAAGGGCAATGAGAAAGATGCCGCTACTACACCAAGCAAGACTGATGCTCTACTGCAGACAAGCTTTCAAGAAGAGTTGTTGGAAACTGAAACTCAGGTGGGCACGCCGCTGCCGGACAACGACCTCGAAATCAGTGTTCTGGCCAACGAGTTCCAGAGGGTCGCTCTGGACAAGAAGGCCGCCTCGGTCGAGCAGTGGCTACACCAGGGTTCTTCGGGGCTGCCCACGTCACCGCAGAAGTGGGACGCGGCCGACAGCGGTTCCAGCGCCTACCACACGGGCGGATCGTCATCCGCTTCTCCGCCCACCCTCGAGCTCGGTGGGAGGTCCGGTTCCCTGCTGTCCTTAGCAGGTGCCCTGATGTCGACACCCGTCTATCCTTCCCTGCCTCCCATGACGAGGACAGGCGCCACCGTAGGGTCCGCGGGACACGGTACGGGACCCACCGAGGACAAGTCAACTCAGATGCGAGACTCCGACATGCAGAGCCTGACGAGCTGCGAGTCCTGCCGGTGTCACCTGGACTTCGCCGCGACGACTGCCCAAGACAGTGAGCGAGCCAGCCTGCGTCCGCCGTGGCTCTTCGGTTCCCGACTACGTCTCCCTCTACCCGACCATGTACACGAACAAGCAGAACCTGCAACATACCATGTGGTTGCAGCAACATCTGTTCCGTGAAGCCCTGGCGCGACGTAACGGTCGCGTCCATGCGACAAAGTCGTCGTCATCTTCTGCTCTCCCCACTCCAACGTCGACCAAGAAGGACCAACTGGTCTCAGCCACAACTGGAGGTGGTGAACACGGCGGTGACGAAACGGACCTCAAGTCCCAGTGGAAGGTGAAGAGGAGGGCCGACGGGACGCGGTACATTACCAGGAGGCCTGCCAGGACGAAGCTGCTGAAGGAACGCGAGCAGAAGATCCTCGAAGAGCGGAGCGGTCTGACGACAGATGACGACAACCACTCGGAGTTGAAGACTGGAAAATACTGGGCCAAGGAGGAGAGGAAGAGGCACCTCGAGAAGGCCCTTGACCATTTTTCGGCTTGTCGTTGGTACTCGCTATCAACAAAAGTGCCCCTTCATCACGACCCTCGTCCGCTCCTTCCAACAGCGTGCCTGCGTAGCCACCCTCGTCCGCTGCGCCATTCCCAGTGTCACCCGCCAGAGACCCGCTGCTTACCGATGGCCCATCAACGTTGACAACCTGGACTTTCCAAATGAACACTTTATGGATTGTCGTTCATGTATATAGCTTTTGTCACTATCTTTCTTTTTTTTTTCATATGCCTTCAAATCGCGTAAAGCGCTAAGGGGGGGAGCCCTGTAGTGCCATCATCACCATCATCATTTCTCAATCACCGCGCCGCGCCTCTCGCGCAGCTGAGGCTAGCTCGAGCTGCGCGAGGATTAGAACGAGCTCACGCACCTGGCGTGTCGGGCGTGGACAGCCACCGCGGCTCGGCTTCAGGCGTGGAATAAAGTGGCGAGATCAGCACGGCCCCGTCTGCCACCTTCGACGCCGTCTCACGTCTCTCTTCTCTCGCCACTACAATGTAATCGGCCCTTTGTTATTTTTGAATTCTATAAATTATCCTCCCTCAGAAATCTCGTCATCAATTTGAGTTTTTGCAGATGACTGCATAATCTACCACAAAATCACTTCACCATGATATCATAGAGCTTTGCAGCAAAGTCTTGAATGTGTAACCATGTGGTGCTCAGATTGGCTAGAGACATTAAACAAAGATAAGTGTAATCAAATGAATTTCACTCAACAGCACTCTCTCAACATTTCAGTATTTCCTTCGTGGTAGCCCCCTAAAACCTACTTGATCTTATAAGTATCTAGGCGTCCATCTGGGATCGAACCTTTCTTGGTTTAGTCGTCAACAAGATTACAGCTGACTCTTCAGATACGCTTGCTTATATAAAACGCAATCTTGGTGATGCCCCTCCTTCCATGAGCAAGCACCCTTGCCAAACACTCCTGCATCCTTAACTCGAATACGCATCTTCTATATGGTCACCTGATTAAGATGATTCATGCCAAAGCCTGGAATCGATTCTAAACCGCGCTGTTCGCTTTATCATTGGTAACCACAGTAGGCATTCTAGGGTAACAAAAATGAAGCAGTCACTCTCTTCCCTTGCTTCCCGCAGAAACATTTCTCTTTAGTACCTGTTACACAGAATGATCAACAGCAAGCAACATTCTTTCTTTCTCAAACCTCATCGATATTCCCATCGTTTACAGCATAAGCCCAGTTTTTATACGGGCACAGTAGCGCCTTTATCTGCATTACCACATGCCATTGTACTGTGGTACAATATCCCTGTAAATATAGCAAACGTCAAAAAACAGATCTTCAGGAGGCAGCTGAACGTGGTGCGCCTGATCCAACCAGAGTTGTTCCGATCATAAGAGCGGAAGGACGCCCACAATATCTGCACGGCTCGATACAGCAACATACATTCCTGCTGATACAGGAAGCCCCTGTTAGCTGCATGGAGTATATACATCAGCAGTGCTGAGGTCCTCGGCGAGATTCTGCGGTACCGTCGATGAGAAATTAATACCGACAGGGCAGTGTGAAACCGATATAAGTCGATGCCTGCCTGAGGGGAGACATTTCGGTAAGGTGTGCTTGGCATTGTTTTTCAGGTAGAAAACCTTTCGACAGTGTTGAAAGCCAACCGAGTATCTTACAACAAAGAGGAGGTGAGTCAGCAAGTAATCTGGCAGCACTGTGTTACTTGTTGATCTAGCCGTGACATCGTTTAGTAGTCGTTCCTAGGCGCGCGAGTTTCGTAAATGCATTGGTGCTGTAGCTCCTGCTTATAGAAGTCGTTTTTGCCTTATCGCCGCCTTGTCTGTGTTGCCGAGTCCTCACAATTAGCGCAGTCATCGAAAAACCATGCGGCGGAAGCCCGATCCACTCGTTTATTTTGTGTGAGTTGTTGGTCCGCATCTCTGCCATTTACCTGCGTCAAGCTTTATTCAAGCTTGCCCGCCCGTCAATCAACCGCAATGCCGCTGATTAACTGGAATGAAGCCACTGTGGAAGACTTTCACGGGTTCACAGTGGACTTTGTACGCCACGAACTTTCGCGCCGTAGCCTGGAGACGACTGGCTCGAAGGAAGACATGATTGAACTGTTGCTTCATGACATCGCCCGGAACCGTCTGGTGGGCCTGACTGAACAGCTGAGCAGTCGGTTTTAAATACGAAAGTGCCGAGTGACTTACTACAGCAGTTTAGGATGTTATAACAACGACCGACGTTTCCAGTTTATGTCACTACGTTGTCCGACCTTTTGGCCTCGCTGCCAACTTTTAGTGGTGACAGTAGCATATCAGCTCACCAGTGGCTTGAAGAACTCGAGCGTACTCAAGGCTTTGCGTCATGGACACCGTCTACTCTCCTCGCCGTAGCGCATGGTAGGCTCCGTGGCCCTGCTGCAGATTGGAAAAGCGTGGCAGGAAACCAGTTGGACACGTGGGAGAATTTCGAAGCTGCGTTCGAGGGCCACTTTAGAGACAAGTCCAATAGCTTCACACTTTTCGTTACACAAGCAACGTCTTCTACAGCCTGTTCGCCGTTTTCGCCGTTGCCGGACAACGCCCAAACCGCATGCTTACCTGTCGACCAGAATAAAGGCCTGAGCAGAAGCCACAAGAACCGAAGGATGCACCACTTTGCATGAGGGATGTTATGCTGGACATGCCATGGGTACGTTGGGCCCATATGCCCCCAGAAACAAGAAGTTATTGCAGTTAACGTCTTGCATAAGCCTATTGACCTGTTCGCCGCAAATGATGATGACGTAAGGCTCTGCAAAGGGGCTGAGCATTCCACTGACCTTTTGCCAGATGCATCCCCATATCATCATCATCATTTATTTGCCCTTAACGGCCCCTGACGGGGCATGAGGTGGGGGGGGGGGGGATTGAACAAGGATACGCAAAGGCAATTACAGACCAAGAACATAAAGTAGGATACAATGCAAGAATTTAATTGCAATGCCAGCCGATAACATATAATAATAACAGAACTCGTTGCACAACTAATGGTATGATTCAAAGTGGCATAAAAATGAGAGAAAGACAACTGGCTACACACAGAAATTATGATGGTGCGGTTGTAAAATGAGTTTCGAGTAAGGTTTTAAACTTCAGAGTATTACGTTCATTGGCTATTTCATTTGGAAGCCGATAATAACATATAATATTAAGAGAACTCGTTGTACAACTAATGGCATGATTCAAAGTGGTATAAAAATGAGAGAAAGGCAACTGGCTACACAGAAATTACAACGGTGCGGTTGTAAAATGAGTTTCGAGTAAGGTTTTAAACTTCAGAGTATTACGTTCATTGGCTATTTCATTTGGAAGCCGATAATAACATATAATATTAACAGAACTCATTGTACAACTAATGGCATGATTCAAAGTGGTATAAAAATGAGAGAAAGGCAACTGGCTACACAGAAATTACAACGGTGCGGTTGTAAAATGAGTTTCGAGTAAGGTTTTAAACTTCAGAGTATTACGATCATTGGCTATTGCATTTGGAAGCCGATTCCAATCCTCAGTTAATGGGAGAAAAGATTTGTTAAAAGCGCTGGTTGAATCTTTTAAATTTTGGACACTCAAAGAATTGAAGAGACGGCACGAAGTTCGAATTGGTGGGAGAAGCAGGAGCCATGAATGTAAGAATAATTGAAATACAGGTTGTGAAATAAACAAATGCGTGCTATTTTTCGTCTAAGATCCAGAGAGGTGAGAGACAGGGATGATTTTATGTTAGTAACACTTGTGCGTAAATTGTATTGGGAGGTTATAAAACGAGCAGCATGATTTTGAAAGGCTTCGAGGTCGTCTATTAAATAAGATTGGTGTGGATTCCAAATTGGAGAGGCATACTCGAGTTTACTACGAACATAGGTTTCGTAGGTGAGTTTACGAACTGAGGCCGGTGAGCAGGACAGGGATCTTCTGATGAAACCTAATGTTTTTGATGCATCTGCAGTAAGCTGTAGGATATGGTCAGTCCATGTTAGTTTGCTGTTGATGAGGACTCCCAGGTATCGGTACGATTCTGCTAGAGCGAGATAGTTAGACTGCAGGGAATAAGTAAAATTTAGGTTTAATTGCTTACGGGAAACTTGCATATATTTACACTCAGAAATATTAAGTTGCATTATCCATAAAGAACACCAATTTTCAATTACATTTAAATCATTTTGGAGGGCAAGTTGATCAGAGATATCACATATGTTGCGGTAAACGACACAATCGTTGGCAAAGAGACGTATTGGAGATGTAACACTTGAGGGAAGATCATTAATAAAAATTAGAAAGAGGAGAGGGCCAAAGACGGAACCTTGAGGTACGCCGAATATTACATTTGTAGTCGAGGAAAGGTGACCTTCGATGACTGTGTATTGGGATCGATTAGTGAGGAAGGCTTGTATCCATGACAGTATGAGCGGGTCTAGATTAAGGGAGGAAAGTTTAAGCATAAGTCTTTGATGAGGAACATGATCGAACGCCTTAGAAAAACCGAGGAAGATGACATCGGCATGCACGTCAATCATGCAGATGTGGCAAAAAAGATTGCGATCATATGTTCGAAACATATGAACGCCTTCGCCATCGCTATTACTGGCGCGGCATGTACAATTTTGTATGCGAATTCGTCCAGTGCTGTCCTTACTGCCAGCGACGCAAATCAACACCGCCACGTGCGACTGGCGCATTGCAGCCACTTCCATGCCCTGCCAAGCCATTTGATCGCGTCGGCGTTCACCTCTACGACCCCCTGCCATCGACACCAGATGGTAATCGATGGATTATAGTGGCGGTTGACCACCTGACACGCTACGCCGAAACAGCCACTTTGCCGAGCGCTACAGCTCAGGATGTCGCCTCTTTCATTTTACGTCGCTTTATCCTTCGACATGGCGCACCTTGAGAGCTCCTTAGTGTCAGCGAACGCGCTTTCCTCTCTGAGGTCGTCGAAAGTCTGCTTTCGGAATGCCACATCATTCATCGGAAAACGACAGCATACCACCCGCAGACTAACGGGCTGACGGAACGGTTTAACCGCACGCTGGGTGATATGCTCGCAATGTACGTGGCATCTGATCATAGCAGCTGGGACCGTGTTTTCCCATATGTAACGTTCGCATATGACACCGCAATACAAACCACCACGAGATTTTCACATTTTTTTCTTCTTTACGAACGCAAGCCTTCCAATCGATACCCTACTTCCCTACTGTCCTGATGCTTCCGAGTGTCCACCTATCTCCGATGCTGCTCGACAAGCCGAAGAGTGCTGCCAGCTCGCCCGTACGTTCACCTCGGAAGAGCAGCAACGCCAGAAAGAACACCGTAGCACCGCCCTTTCAGATCTTAGCTATGCCCCAGGATCTCTTGTGTGGCTCGCCATCCCATACCAAACTCCGGGACTCTCCTCAAAACTTTTCCTCCGGTACGAGGGGCCTTACACCGTTTTGGAGAAAACCTCTCCGGTTAATTACCTAATTTAGCCAGTGTCCCGATCGGACGACATGCGCCGGCATGCACGTGACATCGTCCATGTTTCCCGACTGAAACCGTACCATGAGCTTCTGCCTGAAACTTCTTAGGTCGCCAGGATGGCTCCTTTTTCAGCAAGGCGATTGTGAAGATGATGTGCTTGCAGCGAGCAGCATCCCCAACGCCCGGCTTTCTCGGCTCGAGCTTCGGTTCGCTACTGTGCCGATCTCTGCTGGACGGTTCTTCACGCTGTCTTGCCGTTGTCGTTAACGGCTAATAAACCTCTTCACAAAACGATTTATGTTTAGGCACTTCTGTGACGCAAATTATATATTCATGCATGTACGTGTGTGGAAGGGCATACAAAGAAAATTTATGGAGCGAAGTTTAATTAGAGTGACTTGTTTCAAGCAAGAAAATTTTCTGTGTTCAACATCTGCTACGTCTTGAGACGTCAGCTCCTAAGTCCGCTTAGCTGTACCACGCACTTTCTTGGGGCAAATGAAAAAAGCAGCGGTCATGCGTATGGCAAGATCATATGCTTTTTCTTATATTTTCACAGTTCGACAAGCATTCATCGGCTTTCTGCAGTGCCACCGATTCACCAAGTTTTAGATGGTTCATTCAGATATATACTGTTATAGTGTAATAGAAGTACATAAATACTGGGGAAACTTTTTTTATGCTTTTTTCTTTTGTTATTTGCAGCTCCTCTATACAGGACTTGCATAGATCATGTCTTGGAGCTGTCTGCTGCTTCAGTTTCTCACACTTCAGCAAAGGTGAACTTTTTGCTTTGGAGATCACAGTACCGATTGAGTGCATAGCTTCTGTAGGTTGTCCTTTGGCCACATTCCTTGAAGGTCTTGCAGAACATAAGCATTGTGAATGCTAAGCATAATGCTTTTTCTTCATACATTACATAGAGAGCCTGGAAAAACAAAAAACACCGATAGATAACCAAAAGGGCAGAGAAAAATAAAATGTTTAACCCTTAATTGTGAAAATCAAGTGGCGCATGACAAAGACGTGGACTAAGAAAGACAACAAGACGGTGCGTGGGACAGCGCATCGTCCCATCATCTTTCTTATTGTCTTTTTTGTGCACCACACGTTATAATGATGTATCACCACCAACAAATGTACTCTTACACCCGGTCAATTTAACTCTACATAAGTACTCCTATAGTTCTGACACGATGTGGTATATTGATATAAAGTAGAAATTACAAGGAAATTATCGTTGGTGTCTATTCTGCACGAGAGTGGTAGTCAGAAGAATGTGTTGCACAGTTGCACAAAGGGTTAATGTGCCCTTATGTCTGCAGAAAGAGAAAAATAAAAAAAAACTGACCGAAATCCAACTCCACTGTAACACTACATTGACCCTTTGAAAGCATGTTAAAGGAGTTTTTCTCAAGATTACGAAGACTTGGGTACGATATGAGTGATTGAGCATTGTGCTAATTGCAATGGGTGATGTGGAAGACAAATGTTGCTACAGACGGAAAAGTGGGACATAAGTGTTCCACAGTCACACAAAGGGTCAATGTGCTCTTATGTCTCCAAGCTCAACAATTCTTAAAAAAAAGAGTTCCAAGGACTTCTGAAGGTGCAGCGTCATATTCTATGGGCTATTGTAGCTACTGTGTTACAGGTACTACTAGCTACTATCTGTAGCTACTGGGTAACACATCTATGCTCAGTAACTTGACAGCATTGTGGAAACTACAGAAATGGAGCGCATGCCTGCTACCACACAAAAAAAAGGTACCAAGTATACTGATAATTTTCTGATTTGCTTTGCTGAAATAAGTTGTTTTAATTATTATGAGATTTAAACAGTTGCAGGAAGTGCAGTGATGGAACCGCCTTTTCACTTTCTGTAGCATACTTTGGAGCAAGAAAAGTACCGCTTTGTAGCAGCCATAAGCATTTTGGGAGCAAAAAATAATGCTAGCTTAGAGCAGCTATTGATGTTTTAGGAGTAGATATTAAATTTGCCATACATTACTTGGAGTTCAGAGCGTCGTCAAAGCATCTCACAAATGTCAATATTTCTTACAAAATATATTTAACAGAAAACAATAAATGCAAATTTCATGAAACAATGACAGGTTGTCAAAAATGAGCTGTGAATTGAGCTACTATTTAATATACCAGTATTTGTGGCAGAAATCAAATGAAACCAGAAAGGGCTGAGCACCACATTTTAAAAGTAACCACAATACCATATAACTGCTGCCAAAAAATAAGTAGATAATCAGTATGAGATGAAAGCAATCGTGCTCATTTTCAGATTTCACCACACTAGCCTGCATGTCTAGCTGGAAAAAAAAACAGCCAAATGAGCTATATGCTTAATATGCCAATTCTTGCCAAAAACTGTTGCTTTTTGCATACATCCAGGTCTCTTTGGTTACCAGCGTTGCTTACTGGGGCAATGCCACGTTTCTTGAACTGAGCATATGATGTGCTTTGCATCTTCATGTAATATACCCGATGCATTCGACCTGCTTAAAGAATTCGCAAGGAAATACCAATTAAAGGGTTCTTTACGCCTTCAAGATATTTTTTATAAGCCTAGGCAACAGAATAATAAAAATTTGCTAATTTATTCATAAGTTCATAACTGGTGGTGCCTACTGGTTTGCAGCTACTCTATTATGGTCATGAAAGAGAGCAACAAGCCCTGCTTCCAAAAAAAAGGCTACTTCTAGACAAGAGATCGCTCTCCGTCTTGTGTGTGAGGGCAAATCTCTTTTAAGAGGAAGGCTGTGTGGCAAGGGTATTAGTGAAGGCTGGATTCTGAAACTTAACACTGGCTACAACTGTAAGTTGAAGAACGCACTCAAGAGTCAACTTGCCTAGACAGACCAGCTGAGTAATATTTAGGCGAGTATAAGTTCGAGCGAGTCTTGTTGAGAAAAGTATTGCCGAGTCTGAGTGAGCTCCACCTTTTATCACTGGCCTATGGTTCTATCAAGTGAACTTCAGTATTATGTTTGCTTAGGACTCCAAGTATATTCACACACATTACGCATTAGCATTCATGCGCCACCTCAATATTTATTGATCAGAGGCATGAGTTAGAGGAAAGGTGCCGGGACCTTTCACCACAAACTATTTTACTAGGAGCTCTTGGCAAAAATATATCTCGTCAGTCACATGTTTAAATCACTGTTAACTCGTATGTATACGTGCAACACCAAAAAGCATATCACAAAGCCTCAATTATAAGAGATTCTGCGGCAGAGAGCATTGACACCAGAACTAAAAAGCTCGTTTTACACTAACAGACTCATGAGTTGGCTCACCCAGGCTCAGGTAAAGCCGTGAGTGGGCTTGAATTTTTTTATCGACTTGTGACTACAACATGTGGTTGCAGTCAATGCTTCCATGAGGATGATCTCTGCATCTGCGTGGGGCTGCGATGTTCAGTGCGAAGCAGAAAGCGCTCAACGAGACGCGTCCCAAAGCCTGCTGGCTGACTCCTGATGCCTTTCTAGCATAAGCTGGCCCATATGTTTCCTACTATCATATCGTCCCCAAAATGATAGGTTGATATTCACTCCCAAATTCAAATTGATTATCCCATCCCAACCTCATTTGCTTTCTATGGAGCCGTATGTATTCCCATCCAAAAGAGAATCTTGCCAAAAGCGGGTACAAGAAGGTTCCAGTTTCTTTAAATTTTTCAGGGAAATTATTTCTAACAAGTATATTACAGTAGTATTGAAAGTTAGGCTAGTTTGTACGGATGCATTTTTAATTACAGTGAAAGAAAGATGAAGACGGAAGACAGAGTACAAACTGGTGCTGGGGGACACCTACAGCACTTGTTTGTGCCCCTTCTGTCTTACGCTTTCGTTTTTTTTGCACTGTAACCAAAAATATATTTCCAAAAAGCTTTGACGATATCTATGCAAAAACAGCTCTGTGTGTATACAGTTATAGATGCTTATTTATGCTGCGCCACTCCATCTCTTAGTTGAGGTAAACCAGTGTAAGAGCGCACTTTTCAGGGATTGCTGGCATTTTATGAAATAAGCTTGTTCGGGAATAGTATTCTCTAGCAGCAATTGCGCGCAATGTGCGCACTCTGTACAATATCTGTAAACAGAAAGTGCCTGTAAACAACTTTCTGCTTTTTTTCCCCCAAAATTAATATTTTGGCTGTAAAAACTTCTTTCATTTGAAATTATTTATAGAAATGACCATCAGGACTTCCGCGTGATGTTTTTATTAAGCACTGATAGTCGAAATTATGGGACGCTTTCCTACCAAGTACACGAACGAAGTGTATTCATTAGGGGGTGACTCCGTAACTTTTCGCCCCCAATACTATGATAGACCATGCTATGCTTTATGCCCTCTATTCCTCCTAAGATCACTCTTCACTCTCGCTTACCTTTCCCACCCTTAGTCTATGCGAAGCTATGCTGAGAGCTACTTGGCACATATCCGTTTTGCAGTACTTTTCGCTGGAGGAGCTCCGCTCCGCTGTAACAAAAAATTGCGATGTCTCTGTGGAATACCCAGCAGGCTGTCACAGCGAAAGCTAGAAGGATGGCCTTTTTAAAGGTTATTGCAACCAATACAAGTACATATGCAAGGTACCAACTAGGCCATTTTTGTTTTTTGAGCAGGGAACCGTGGACAGCTAGAGCTAAAGCTAGACAAGCTAGAGCCCTGCCCTCACTAGTTACCCGCTTAGTTCTTCTTTTTTTGATAGTGCTAGAACACCAGAGTATTACAATCTGTTTAGGTTATGATTTCCTGGAAGGTAAATGCTCACAAAAATAGAGCAAAGGAATAAGCAATTATGATCGAGTAAAACAGACTAAATGCTGACATGCAGCCTCTTAGAAACTTGCTTAAACTGGTGGAACTGATCTTTGGCCTTCGTTTCTGTTGTTGGTGCATACGAACCAAAATGTTTTTGGTCCTTTTTACAACAGCCGGACTAACTTGTATTCGTGCATCCACATGGCTCTGTTTACATGACAGTGTGTTTACCTTTGCAACTTGCAGATGTTGGACAGCTGATGGTGCGAGGAGAATGCCAATATCTTCCTTTTACATTTTGCAACCATTCTTGAACACGCAATTTCCATCTAGAAGTGGTACGTGCTTTAGTCATTTGGCCATGTTGTTCCTGAAATGCCAATAAAATTACAATGCAAAAATTTGCTTTGGTTTTGCTATTTTAAGATATTCAGACTGTATGTTGAGTGTAACAGTGTGGGCTAGTTGGTATGACATGATGATGGTTATAGCGCGAGAACATAAAGAGGACAAAAAGACAAGATGGACACGAGCGCTCATGTCCTTCTTGTCTCTTTGTCTTCGTTTTGTTCTCGTGCTATAGCTATTGTATGTTGAGCTTTTAATATTACACACAGGAATCTCATACCATTTATTACTGGTGAATGTAATCTCAAACACATTTAAATATGGTTTCACTGTGAACACAAAACACAAGTGCCTGAATCGGTGATACCTTGTGAACTCATTAGCAGTAAGATGAATTCAGTGGCTGCTCAGGCCCAATGTTATGATTCACCTGCTGTACGAGTATATAGCAGGCATCTATGACAGATTCATTTGCAGGGTCCATGACGAAAGCTATCGTCATTCACCTCTCTTGCAGTGTTCTTGGGCTGCTTTTTAGGTGGTGCTGGCTACTTACGCCAGTGGTATTTTAATATAAACATTGCAAGAAATACATAAACATTCAAATATTTTTTTTAAGGAAGATGTTGAAACAGGATCCCCAGCCGGCATCTGTAAACAAAGTTTGGCAGAGGACTGTGCCTGATGCCACATCTAGTTCTCCCAGCATGCTATGTCACTGAAATTTGGCCTGGGACATAGTACAGTAAAAGCTCATTCATTCAAACTTGGTTAATTAAAACTGGCGCCCTGGTCTCTGCACAGCCTTATGTATTTCAATAGAGGAAAACAGAAATAATTTGAACATGACAATATAACAACGGTTAATTCAAACTGGGAGCCCCCAGCTTTCGTCCACATTTACAGAAATCGGCTTAGAATGATCATCCAAATCCCTCATTACTTTCATCTGTGTAAAACAAGTACAGTAATTGATTTCCATGTTTGATTTTATGTTTGTAAATGTAATTTGTCTGCTGCTACTGCAGTATGGGTGGAGCAGCCTAGTTCGGCCATGTTTGCCTTTAGCCATATTTTTCGGACAAATTTCACTATTGTTCTAAATAAACTAAGAAAGAAAGACTGTAAATCTTGATTGAATCAGCCCTGCTGTTGTGGATCCCCGTGCTGTTCGAAGCGTTGTCGCTTCGGATCCCACCGCTGCCACCAATTGTTGGGAATCTCGGCGCTGTTCACCTCAGTAGTCGCTCCGAATCCCAGCGCTGATCACGAGTTGTTGCGGACCGGGGTCTGCCCGGTTTTTTGTGGTAGCGTGGTGTAGCTTCGGATTGAGGAAATGAACGCTCACAAGATGGGGATAAAAAAAAAACAGGTTTATGGCCCTATCTACAATTATTTACAGCATGAGGCTAGGAGTTCACAAATCACGAACGTGGTGGCTGAACCGTTACATGGTTCAGGGCGACGTCCAGCACTCTGCAGCGCCTTTTTAAGCCCTCTCGGGCTCCTCCTCCTTGAGTGGAACACCAATCACACACACAAAACACCACCCACAGGGCATCAGTCAGTAACGCACAGTCCGCCGAATAGTTATTGCCTCTCTCAACTCAATTCTCTGAGAAAAGGGGAAATGGGGTTCTCTCCCGGAGCAATTTGGCGGTTAGGTTGCTTCTTCCGTCTTTCCTTGGAAGGGCAGCCAAGGGGTAGACACTTCAATCGTGGAGACACGACCTCTGCGATCAGTCTGCTTCGCCATCTCGCTAAACAAGCTGGCCCGAAGAATTGCTTGTAGGGGCATTGGCTCTCGGACCATCTTCTAATCCCTTTGTCGCTCCCCGCGGCTGGATCCGAGAAACTGGGGTTCCGGGCGTGGGAGCGCTGCCCGGCTACGTTTCTCAGCGACAGCATGGCGCCTACGGACTACGGTCATAACAGCTTCCCCCTCGCCAGATGAGTAACGGAGAGTAGCAGTCGCCACTGCTGCTCGAAGGGACGACGAAAGGGTCCGTAGTTGAATGCCAGGAACTTGCCTTGTTTGTCGGATGGTCTGGGCAATTGCCGAAAACTGACAGCGCCTCTGAAACTCGACCACATGCACAAGCAAGCACTCGGCGCCCTTCGAACAAACCAAGCCAAAAGAAGGATGGCAGACCAATTTTCATTACTAGCTTTAACAAAAAGCTAACATTCCGAACTCTCAGGACTCACTTGCGCTGAGAAACCAGACGTGCTACTTTACATATTTTACATAAGTTGCACGAAAAAACAACTAAAATATCAATTTTCATACATCAAGGGCACCGCAGAATGACTTAGAAAGAACGGCTGAGCGCTTCAGCGTTTCCCTTCAATTTGCCCTTATACCTGATGTCAAAATGATATTTTTGGAGAATCAAGCTCCACATCACAAGGCGACTGTTCTTCGATGTCACGGTTTGCAGCCAAGGGGACAATGGTCTGTTTCTATATGCTTTAAATTTAGCACCTCCGAGATAACACTGCAACTGACGAATGGCCTACAATGTGCAAACGCACTCCTTTCCTGAAGCGCAGTACGTTATCTCACGAGAGCCCAAATTCTGGCTCAAGTAGAGCGCATCATACCAAGTTCTAGGTGGTGTTGATCATACTCGTTGCGACTGTCGTCTCGACATAGAACGGTGTGCACCTAGGCTTCGATCTCTCGCATAACACTGAACCGTTAATTCTCGGTAGTAAACAGAAGCTCTCAAAACCGGATGACGATCAGTATTACCTCTTCACTTAAGAAGGCTGCCTCCTTCTTTTAATCACTGACTACTTTCATCGGTTCTGTTCTGCGGAGAGCATCGGTCAAGTACGCGAACGATAAATAAACTCGAATTCAGCGAGCGCTACAATTGTCCTAACGTCCGTCTTCGTCTACGGCCGCCAATAACCGTCTACTACTGAGACATGAAGCTCACCAGCCTCCCGAAAGCTTAACCTAAGCTGTGACCTAACGATCTACCTCAACGGTTAGAGAAAGCTTGATGATCTGCTCATGATCACTCGAACATTTATTATTCAAAGAAAACAACAACAAAAAAGTAACAAACACTGCCTTCTAGCAGGTTTGTTCGGTTAGTTACCTGCCTTTGCTAACGCCTTTGATTAAAAAAAAGAAACACTGAGTTCTGAGCATTTTCAATTATTTTCATTCTTACAGCGCTGCAAAATGCACGGCACTACTAACCAAACGCTTAATCTTTCACAGTTTGTCTAACATTCTTGCGTTACGTTGTAACACACCGTGTACAACACAAAAATAATCCTAGGTAAAAACACCTCAACAGCAATTGCATAGATTTTATGCTAAAACCGTGCCCCAACGACTCTCAATTCTCAATGCACACAACGACAACTCCACAGTGTCGCGACGAAATCATTCGGTTTATGCTAACATCTTTTTCAAATCCTCATTCACGCCACATCCCCATGACAGTGAAGGCATACGATATTACACGAAACCTTTGAAAATAAACTAGAAAAATAACACATTTTCTCGGTTTTTGCCTTATGCAAATTTTTGCACTCATGATTACACGAACTTCAATTTTCAGCCTTTAGTTCGGCGGTTTTCCTTTTGAAAACTTTTAAGGAGCTGGAAACCATCCTCATGCCTCGAAAGGACGCTTCAACATCGTCAAATGTAGGCATGGTTAGCGCAGTGGCTGGTGAGAGTAATAACGCCATGCTTCAGCAGTGCAGCGATACCATCAAGGTGGTTCGCAAACATCGCAGAAAAGGGAAGAAGAAGCGGAAGCGTTCGTCACTGCGTAAGCCTAGGACAGGTCCCACTCAGTCGCAAGAAAGAAGAGAGGGTAGGCCGTTAATCCGTTTCAAGAAACGCCAATGGTGGCATTCATGGAGGCACAAGCGGCGAGCCAGGTGTAGAGGGGGGAAACAAGGTGCGTGACCCCAACGAAACGCGCGGTTGAGTTCGCCGACTTCGGGAAAGTGGACTTGCCCGAAGGGTCAAAGTCGAAAGGTGGTGGTGGTAGTGATTAGAAGATGAGAAAATGCACCTAATTTCTGCAACCTGGTCGGGAGCACGGCGCAGTGCCTGAAAGTCGAAAGGGCAGAGTGGCTAAACACCACGTAGGGAGGGGGTGAACACAAAGAGAAAATGCCACAGGCTTCCCCCTGTTTCTGGCGTCCATTGCACATTCCTGAGTGGAGCCGGCAGAAGGGCCGAATGAGGTATGACAGCAGGACACCGCGTAGTGTTTGTGCGTTGTGCAGCCTCTGGCGTGCTCGAAAACCGCCGGGACCGCGACCCCATCGTGTGCGATTAAAACACCACGAGGAGAGGGTTCAAGGTCGGTTTGAGTAAACTGTTGCCCGGGCATGTTAAATATTGTTACTCAGTGTTGCATTGGAGATGCATATTTGAGTCATTTTAGTTTTGTGAGTTACGTGATGCAGCACTGAGCCCAATAGGGCTGCTGGCACCCGCCTCATCCCCGCAAGTACCGTCTTTTGAAACGGTCTCTACCTCCAGACCGGCCAAGGCCTCGCTCTCGACATGCTCTCTGATTTCCTGAATGGTGGTATCCTCCTCTAACTGCTCAGTAGCCAAGCTACCCTTGTTCCCATTCAGAAGTAAAGTTAACCTGTCCGATGCTGGTGGAAGTAAAGTATACTTGCGAGATTCCTTCTCTGAGTGACGGATCTCAAGTGCCTTGCTATCACGGTTGTCTGAACTGCTTTCCTTCGTTTTCACCACTTTTGTATCACGCACTTCCTCTATAGCATTTTCCTCAGACGTTAAGTGAGTTGCCAATTTTCGTGTCTTTGAATGAGTTAACACTTTTACTACCCTGTCATCGAAAAGAATGCCCTTCTCTCGCAATAACATATATGACTTGTTTGGGAACAAGTACGGATAAGAT